CAGTGTTTTTGTTGTGAGGAGTTGAGATTCTACAAACACCTTGCTTTTACCAAAAATGTCATATTTTCCTTTGAGCAGTACATAATTTGTAAAAGTCTTCCTGTGTAAGCGCTAGAGACATTGTATAAAGAGTACTTCTACATGTTGCTTTTTATTTAAAATTTGCTTTCTGCATGATAATGAAATTTCAAATGCCCTCTCTGGTCATACTTCTTCTTTTCATGGAATGCTAAATAGTAGAAAATAATTATTTAAATTTTGTATGGCCTTGAACTGTTTTATGCAAATTCTCTAGCTGTAGTTGTAGCACAACCCTTTGGCCAGCCTTGGATAGTAAATAATTTGTCAATCTTTCTTTTATGAACCTTTTGTCTAAGGGTCTGCCAGCCTTTCTTCTCTGTGGGTTTTGATCTGTGTTTATAGATTCCGTTTTTTGTTTTTAGGCTGGCAGATGGCCAGTTATTTATCTGGGTTCATGTGCATTGTGTGAGGCAGAAACAGGACGTTTTGCATGCTGATGTTGTCCACAGGGCATTTGGGGGGCAAAAGGCTGCTCCTAAGCAGAAGCCATTATATAATGTGTCAGTAGCTCTTGGTCAGTGAACAAAGCCCCTTTTGACATTTCTCTATGTTAAAAGTTATGAAATAACATGAGCTTCATGAACAAACAAGGTGATACAATGCTCCTACTATGAAATAAGCCATATAATCCATTTCCCCTCCATTTTGAACTCTCTGGAGTTCAAAAATTTGATGCCCTTTTTATATGTTTGTCACTGTTATTCTTTGAATTTCTGCTGTTGCTTGCTTTGCTGTTGTACAGACTTCTGGTGCTGCACTGGGAGAAAAGGATAAAAGGATATTGGTTTTGGAGGAGCTGGATTCACTGGTTCTAATAAATAGTGAATTTGGTGTTGTGGCTTGGTTTGTGGTTCCTTCTATAGGTTTGGCAGCAAAGCCAAAACCCTGATCAGGCAGGAAGTTCAGACCTACAGAGATGAATCCCAAAGGCAGAATGTCATAGATAGGTATTCTGTTCACTGTGGCAATTCCTCAGAGTTTCTGACTCTGCCAACATTATTGTGTGCTGGCTAAGGACAGCCAAGGGTGCAAATGTGGGAATTTTGAAGGAGTGAGGAGGAGGAACAGAAGTCTTTAGGAGATATCTTCAGTTCTACTTAAGTGTGCGGCCATCAAGGACTGGAAGCAAATATAAAAATGCACTTAGTGCTCTGTGGAAGCACAACACAATCAGTTTGCTGTTATTAGTGCTGTTATTCCCTTCTTGGTGCTGCTTGCTCAGCTATTGCAGTTCATAGTCCCCTGGGAGTAGAAGCTTTTATGCAGATACAAAAACTGCCCTCAAAAACAACACCTGTTTGGTTCTGCCATTCTCATTGCAGGGAAAAAAAAAGGTCAGGTATCTTCAAGAGAACCTGTACATCTTTTTGCTAGTTTTTCTTACAGTTCTAGTTGTATTTCTCTGTTCTGTATTGCTTAGCAGGGCTGCTTTATAGTATTAAACACTTCCTGTCTGTGTGAGCTGGCTCCCCATTTATGATTGCAAGCTCACTTCTAAGGATCATTTATAAAATGTTTCGAATTTGTGCAATATTTCCAGATTACAAAGAATGATGGAAAACTTCAACTGGTATCTAAAAGTGCTACAGCTGAAGCCTCCAGCTATTTTGAGTCAGATGTCTTGGACTATTTAGAGCATATTGCTATATTTACACACAGTTCAGAAAGTTGGAGACTGGCATTGATGAAAGGCAGCGTATTGGCACCCACAGCACTTTGCCAGCAGATGGACATGGTATGATACAAACTTTGGGAATTTGCTTGCTTATATCTCTGTGCCTGTGCAAAGCTGACATGGGCTTTTATGAGCAAAAGTGTGAAAGATTTGGGGTCTGCCTTTCACTCAAAAAATGGCATCCAGTGGCAATATCCCTTTTAGCACCTTTTCAGGCCTTCTGGAAAGTTTACAAGTGGAAGACTCCCACCTCCTTAATCACAAGAAAACACTGGCTCTCCTCTGAATGTCATTCATTCAAGTGTGCTGACCTGGCCTGACCTTGTTTAGGTTGAGATCTAATGAGCCCACAACCCAAGGTGGTGTGGTAGCTCTCAGCAGGCTTTGCAAATAAGCAAGTGCTGTTTTTCTGTGTGCATGTGGTTTAAATTTATCATGTCAATAAACAAGTGTCTCACATGCTCAAATAGGGACTTTACAATGTTGTAGTTAAGGCTAAATTGTAGCGCTACAAATTGTGATGTCACTTTATAAATATAGAAGGAGCCAACCTGGAATATTTATGACCTCAAAACAATGAAGTCCTGTTGGTGGGGTTTTTTAGTTTAAATAATGACATAACACTAAAACTCTTAATCCAAATGGGTCACAAACATCTTCCAGATGAACAGTCACACTAATGGTTTGGAGAAAACAAAATTAAAATCACAGGCTGTTGATTTAAGGAAAGGAGAGGTGCATCAATAGATTAATAAATAATAAATACAGCTAGGATTTTAATGCCAGTGGAAGGTTTGGTTTTGTTTTCTTTCAAGACCCCAGATTTGGGGGAAGATTTTTTTTAATATAAATTGCTATTAAATTACCCTCACTGATAAAATCACCCTCAGCTTCAGTAGGGACTACACCACCAACGTAGGTATTTTCTGAAGCACATAAAACCTGAGGTTTTCAAATTAAAAACCAGTCTAGGACAGACTGTGGCACATCCTAGTAAATTAACCAAGTTGACCTGGATGGATAAAAGTATATTTGGAACTGGACAAGTGGTTTGAGCTGTTGTGAGGACTCTGTCAGTACCTGTGCTGGGAGTCCCATTCAGAGGCTGATTGATCCAGTTTTCCCTGGATGATGCTGGGGGGCAGCAGAACGTTCCTCCAGCTGTAAATCCCGACCCTTTCCTGCCAGGAGAGCCCTGCAGGAGAACAATGCTCCTGTGTCAGACAGCCCACAGCCCATCCATGCTGGAAACAAACGTTGTTAGGGCTTGGTATTTACGTTGGGACCTACAGAGAGGGAGCAACTTGTTTTGTTTTTAATGGAGCAGTCAGGGAGAAGGATAAAAAGCTTTTTGATAATGCGAGGAATGTGGGGAGGGGGGGAAGGGAAGTTACCAAGATATGCATTTACTGTAAGTATGAAGAAGCAGAGGCTTCTTTATCAGACTGGCTCTAATGATGTGCCACAGTCACTTTATTTGAAAGCTTCATGGCTCACAGAAAAGTAAACAAATTCATTACATTATTTTTAAAAGAAGATTAACTGTAGTGTGTCGTCTGTTGGACAGCTGCTGTAGTAATCTTTTACAAACACTTTATAAATGACCACCCTCAGTGTTTTGTAGGGCTTTGTGTGGCTGGATTGTTATTTTAGTAAGTACCAGGGTGGCTTTTCAAATGAAAACGTTGTTTCCTGTGTAACAATTCAATTCTACCTTCACCCTAAATATTATTTTGTTCTCAGCATGAACTATAAAATGTCTTCTATACTAATGCAGCATATGTTGCTTTTTTGCATGTGTTTGCAATGAATGCTGGCCTTTCCATAAAAGTACTTAAAAAGTATTTTAAACAAGAAAAAACAACTCCACTTTAGTGTCCTACTTCCATTAGTTCTGATTTCTGCTTTCTTAACCTTTCTTCAGTCTGTGAAAACACCAAGCTGAAAAGATGAGTCAGAGTCAGCTCAGATGATAAGTGAATTGACACTGAACAAATGTTTAAACCCCAACAGGTGTCTTTGGCAAATAAGATTGTGTTCAGGTATTACCTTGTTTAACATTCTTTGGTTGAATGTCAGCAAGAATAACATTATTTAGCTCTGTGTCTCGATTTGTGTTTCAAAGCCCTTGACTGACACAAATTAATGTAACACCAGGGATTTGTGAAGTTATGAAGTGGTTTTAACCACTCTTGCCATAAAGCAGTTGATCTTGTTGTGCATTCAGGTTCCAGTCACAGATTCCTTGACCAGGTGAGGGGGCAGCAGGGAGAAGAGGAAGAGCATTTCCTTCTCACCCAGTTGGCCTCCGTGGGTGTCCCAGGCTCTAGCAGAGGACCATACCTGGCAAGGACCTCCCTCAGACATCTGGGAATGCCTGGAATGAATCTCATCTTGCTTTGGAACACCATTTTATTTCTACACAACATAATCTCACACTGGATTTTTCAGGATAAACATAGTGTTTATAGTCAGATAAACTATTTAAAGCTCTTCATCTGTATGTAAAATATTTATTTTCACTTGGGATATACTGATGCATATATTTATGGTAATATGGTTTTAGATGTGAATAATTAACTGTTCTGCCTGCAAATCTAAAGAAATGTCCACCTTTGTGAGATATGTATCTGTGTATGTTTATTGAAGATTGTGCATATGTTTCCTCAAGATTGCTAAAGGATCTCCAAGAGGTCTTGGATGAAGGAAGGAGTTGTCACATCTTTGCCCTTGGCGTAATTGAGATGAAGCCTCTGCATGGCAGACAGAGGTTTTCCCAGTCCAGGGAAGTGTGTGGTTACACAGCAAACACAAACTGAAGATCCTCAGGAAACCTTACTGCTCCCACTGAATTGTGGTAGTGCTGAAAAATCATCCAAACCCTCCATCCACTGTGAAACAGGCTCTGCTGATCACATCCCTCCTCAGGACCGAGTGTGGGAGAACAAACAGCACAAGAAGTGTTAGAAATGATGTTTAATACATAGGTGGAGGGTTCCTGTGGTTGTCAGAGCAGTATCAACATCTATAGAGGGCAGTTTGACAGATCTCCCTGAGTGCAGCATTTGCAGTTTTGGGAGTTAGGCATAGCAGAGAGGTGATAGAAGTACAGTGAACAGTAAAAATATGAAACCTGAACCTTCTGGTTTTAAATATTACCTGTGCCCTTTAATTATATTTATGCATGTTTTGTTCACTTTCCTATAGAAAGTTAAACGCTTCATTTAAATATTAATTATTTCAGGCTACAAAAGAAGAGGAAGAGCTTATTGCAGAGGAAGAGGAAGAACTTACTCCAGAGGAAAAGAGAAAACTGGAAAGAAAATTAAAAAAAGAGCGCAAGAAGAAGGAGAAACAGCTGATGAGGGAAGCTGGAATCCCCATAAAAAAGGTGGAGCCCAAAAAGCCATCGGGATGTGAGCGGGCTCTGGCCTATTTAACCAGGTAAGAACAGTAAAACCTCTGCAGGTGCTGCCTACAGAAGTAAGCTGTAAACCAGTAACCCAGAGCAAGCTGTACCAAGCAATAACACATTAAAGGAAATTGCTGCAGTTAAGTACTAAGTTAATGTTTCATCTCAGTTGACACCCTGGAGAAGAGTTGATCACCCCATTGTGTTTCTATTACAGCAACAGCAGAGAGAAGTTAAGTATGGTGCAAACATTTTATAGAAAGGCAGCTCCTGTCCTGAAGATTGTTATATAAATATCATGGGCTTAGCTGCACTTACAGAGATGAAAGGCACATTCCAAAAAAGATTGGGTTGAGAAAATGAGTTTTGTTTCTTGAATGTTCTGTTCTAGGCAAAGGACTTCCAGTTGTTCTCTTTATAAAAGCAAATTTCATGGAGTGGTTAAGCATTACAGAGTCTGAATTCACCCACCTGCAGAATGTGTGGATATTTGTAGATTAAGATGGGATTTTGCCACTATTTTAAAGTTAATAGTGTAGGATGACTGATTTTTGCTTACCAAAGTGTACAGCAAGTATAGTGGCTAATTTCAGATTGTTAGCAATCCCTTCAGCCAGTTAGCACACTTATTGTAAGACTTAAAATACCAGCATAAAGCAAAGTCTGTGCTTAAACAAAAAAACTGCAGCGAAGCACTCAGGGTACCCCACAGACAGTAAAGAGGTCATGTACAAACAGGAAAATAATGTTTATTTTTTTCCAAACTGCAAAACATACCCTGGCTGTAAGACCTCCAGAAGACTGGCATGTTACAAATAGTGGGTTACCATGTGGAATTCATCCAGGGTTGCATCCCTGCCTGTGCTCAAAACTGAAGCATCCAGACTGTCTGAATTGTTACTTACCACTCGCAGTGGGGAGGGAGGAAATTAATTGCATTCCAGGCAGAGGGACATGTGCATTTTTGTTACATAACCCTCAGTATGCAGAGATAGCAAAATGACAATAATATTTTTGATCTGGAAAACAGCTGGAGCAGTTCACCAGTGTTTTGAACTGCAAATGGATTGACAGATAACTTTGAACCATCCGCTCAGCTGCTCTCTGCTGTGTGTGCTCTGGTAAATGGTGGATCTCCAGATAATGCATTTCAGGTTTGCAAAGTAAAGGAACAAGCTGTAGGGTTTTGCTTGTTATTCCACTATTATCTCTATGGATTTTTGCCTTGTTACATGGGAGAATATGAAATTATATTTGAACTAATATTTGAACAAATTTGATTGTAGAGTTTCACTTAACCTGTACCAAGTTACCCTGAAATAGAAAACCAGCTCTGTCATTTGGTCTTGTCACACAGAGTCTATGGGTTGTATGTGCAGCAATAGGTTGTGAGGGATTATTTCAGCAACAGACAATTTGAATTTTGTAGACTTAACAGGGGTAGTCATAAGATGCTGAACTGCCAGGCAAACATAGCCATAGTCACCATTTTAGCCCCAAATGTGCCTGGACCATCTTGAACCACTATTAGTTATAGAAAAACAATTTACAATTATAGGAAAACAGTCCTCTTACACCTCAGACCTTTTTTTTCAACCCAGTAAGACTGCAAAAGAAATAACTGGATTTAAATGAATCCAAGAAGTAAAAAATCCAGGTTCTGGAAACCCTATTGCAAGCTCACCAGCATATTGAGTGGGTGAAGGATTTCAGTCTACATGCTTTTGCAGGGCTATAGGCATGAATAATCTGTGGGAGGATAAGTAAATCTTATAGATGCAAGAAATGAATATAATTGGAAGTAAACAAAAGAGTGCTGTGGATTTGTGTTTTGCCCCACCCACAATAAAAGCCTTCCATGACAGAAGTGAGGGTAAGTGAGGTGGCATCTGAACTGCCTGATGGCATGTGCATCTCCTGTAGGACAGGTGGAACTCAGTGTGCCATATGATAACTGGAACTGTCATTTTTATTTATTGAGGGACTGTCTGCAGCAGGAGAGCACAGCTGTACAAAGCTGTGCCTCGTGCTGTCAGTCCAGGGGAGTTAATGAAGAGAGCACTGATGGCAGGAATCAGGCACTCAGTGTGCAGGGCAGGGCTGCTCACTGCATCCTGCTCTTCCTGCTGCTTGCAGAGCAGCCCTGCAGCAGAGCAGCCTGCAGCAGAGCAGCCCTACAGCAGAGCAGCCCTGCAGCAGAGCAGCCCTGCAGCAGAGCAGCAGGGTTCCAAGGGCTGCACCAAGGCCCTGGCTGCCCTTGGCAGCACTGCCATCCTGTGCCCCCTCTGCTGGGGTCCCCACTGCTGGCACAGTGTGCCACAAGCTGAGCAGGTCTTCCAGTTCTCCAGCTTTGTTATTTGATTCCAAAAACAAATGGTCCTTGATGCTTTCCAGTCTCCAGAGGGATCAAATTGCCATTTTGTTGGAAGGCCATCCTAGCTGGGAGAGGCTTTTTTCACCATGCAGATGGCATGGCCACATGCAGCAGCAGCAGCTGATGCCAGCTCAAACTGCAGCCCCCAGCTACTGCACCTGAGGAGCTGAAGGGTCTCCCCTGTGAGCTGGGTGACTTTGATAGCCCAGATCAGTTCCTTGCTCATTTGAATGAAACCAGGCTGAGCATGACCTCAGGTTTACACTCCTGATGGAGGAAAAGCAGCCAAATGACTCCTGATTTTTCCCGTCTCTCACTTTCTCTTGGCCTGTGTGAAAAGGAAAAAGGGAGAGAAAAAAAGACTTTGCTTTACCAATTTTTATCTCATCTTTTCCTTGGTAAGATGAGTTCAGGTGGTTCCCAGCACAGTTCTCTTCCAAGGCAGCAGCTGGCAGAGAAAAGTTACTGCTGTCAGATCCCCAGCTTGCCCAGGGAGCACACAGGAAGATCTGAAGATAGAGAGAGGATTAAAAGTAGGGAGCTGAAGCAGAAAGGTTATAAAACTCTGGGGAAAAAAAATTTTGAAATAATGGAAAAACCCCAGAGTGGTACTGAACAGAAGGAAAAAAAACCACCCAGTTACTTCAGAGGAATAGGGAATTACTTCAGAGGAATAGGGAAAAGCAGGAATGATGAAGTATTAGTGGCTAAATAAAGTACTCAAATCTCTTCCTTTTAATGATGACAATGCCTTGTTCCTTTATGATGGTAAGTGATGATTCAGATTTAAAGGGAATACTCCATTGTCTGCTTAATGTACTTCTTGGAAAATCTAGAATAAAAATTCATCCTTTCTGAGCATTAGGCTACTTCAAGTGAAAAGATGTTGCAATTCTAGAGAATGGTAATTAGGTTTAATTATAACCTAACTGACCTTCTGTGATGTTAAAATGTTGGCAGAACTTGTTTGTCTTGGCAAGCCACCCTCTCCTAGAAGCTGCTGTTCTTGTGCTTGGCTTGGAAAGTTCATTGCCGTATGGATCTGCACATATGGATTTCTCCATCACCCATCAAAGGAATAGAGAGAGATCTGAAAAGACCTCACTAATGGAATGTGAAACTACAAGATTCATATCATCTGAAGTAGAAATAATAGATAATATTATCTGCATGTGTGCTCTGAATTACCTAAGCCTTGCAGTACTATTTATCAGTACTATTTATCATGTACTAAAATTTGAAAAATAAGGTGCTGAGTACAATTATTTTTGAAATTATTTATGCCATACTGTTAGTACATGTCACTTTTCTTTATATAGATCTTATTTTTCTCATTGCCTAATTTAAATTCAGGCAAGATTCAAAGAATGTCAGAGATTTCTTTAAAGTAAAAAGATGCTTCTAGAATAATACAAACCAAGGGCATGTTACAGAAACAGAAAAGTGAGAGACAGGCAGAATTTCCCATGGCGTGAGGAAATCATCTGACTCTGCAGATCCCAAGGTGGTTTTTGCTGAGTGTGGTGGCAGCACTGCTGACAGCCCTGGACAACCCAGGGCAGTTGTTTATCTGCTGGGTTTGCACAATGGAAACAGATCCTGGTCCTCAGTCAAACTTTATTACAAACAGTGCCAAGCCTGGGAGATTTTAAAGCTGAAATGTTGTTCTTCCTTTCAAAGAATACAGAAATTCGAGGGCTGTTGCTGGAAGCATTTTTTTTTAATAGTTTGATAATTTTTTTAATGTATGTCATATATTATATAGATGTAAAACTAGAAATAACATGTAGAAAGCATATCAAGTTTTTACTCCTTCTGGAGTAGAGGCTGTCTGGAGAAGGGACTCAAGAGATGGATTAGTATTCACTCAGAACTTTCTGATTTTTGAAGGAACCAGGAGAGGCTGGTGCTGGGCTGTAAAGTGGGCAGCAACATCTGAGATTTGTGGCCAAACAGCTCAGATGATGGTGGCCCTTCAGGAAATCACAGACCCATTCATCCAGCCCCTCCTGGGGCAGGTGATTCCATTGGAGGAGCTTCTGCACAAACACAACCGTGCTCATTAATGTTGAAAACAGTTTCTAGTTTCAAAGCACCTTGAGTGGGCTTGTGTCACATTTAGTTTCTTTTTTGTTTCATAATGTTTTAAAGTTGTTTTACTTCTCACAGGTTACTTTTTCAGCCAGGGTCAGTGATGGCTTTTGATACTTGATTCTGAATTTAAATAATTTTCATTGCTGCTGGTCTATATCGATATTAATTTCAAACTTGGCCCTGGTGTTGATGTTTCACCATCAACAGCTTAAGCTTTCAGATATGAAGAGTAACTGATAAACTAAACATCTAAACATACACAGGTCTTTTTTTCTTCCTTCCAGAGACTGACTCCTTGGGTTGAATAGCAACTAATTTTAGCATTTAATGGCATTTCTTCTTCCCCTGCTCTCCAAAACTGAGATTGAGTTTCCTTCCTGATGGCAAGGTGCAAGCATATATCTAAGCTCATCAGTTATCTTGAATTTCATAAAATATTGGAGAATTGCTCAAGTAATGAATCTCAATTAGCTAGTAACAAAAATAGTGTGTGAACTTAAGAGAAAGTGTTGTAATTAGACACAGCAGTGTTCCTGAATTCCTTCAACAATTGGGGCTTTAAGG